AACCTTTGTAGGTTTGTATCTTTAAATGTTTCCTAAATTTGAGAGTATTAACGTAGGAATTTAATGTTTATCAGAAAACACTATTAAAAGTAGTGACAAGGGACTGGCTCTGTAGAGCAGTAGTTAAGGGAGCCAAATCCCACAGGACTGACCACAGTTTGAATCCTGGCACTGGCAGCCCGAAAAACACATGGTTCACATTTGTGCACATGCCCAAAACCTTGACAGGATGAGGAAATGGAGGAGAAGGGATTTCAGTGTGACCACACCCTATTAGTGAGTGTTCATTTTCTGAAGTCTGTTTCTCTCTGGAGAACCTATGTGCCCTCTAGCAATAAAGACAAAATAATAGTGACCAGGCAAGACACAAATATGGAGACGGTGTTTGGAACATATGCCAACAAAAGGTTACTTCATAAATAGATTTATAATTCCTAAAAGTTAAATAAAAAATGACAACTATTTGGGCTGGCAGGTGGCATGGTGGTTAAGGGCACTGGATGCCACATGGCTGACTGCAGTTTGAGTCCAGAACCTGGAGGCTTGCTTTCTCACTCTCTCTCTCTCTCTCTCACTCATCTGTCTCTCTCTGGTCAAATTAAAATAAATAAATAAACTTAAATAAAAATAATGTTAAAAAGAAAAATAGTAATAAAAAGCTTATAAAGCCCTAGGTGATAGGCCTATAAAATAATATAATGATAATTAATAGTAAGAATAATTAATGAAAGTCAAGATTATAAGGAATATAATCGATTTCTATCCCCTATATTGAAAAAAAATAAAAAGCTTTTGTCCAGAAGGATGTGGAACAAGAGGAACTCATATAATGCATCCAAAATTGCAAACTAGTACAATCACTTGGAAAATATTTGAGGATAATCTCATGCTGATGTACATATCTTAAGAGTTGTGAATGTAACTGAAGTAACTTACTCAAATGGGCGCCAGAAGTCTTGCCAGAAGAATTATTTACTGTAGCTTTTTTTTCTTTTTGAAACAGAAAATCTTTAAAATAAGTTAATTGTCCACCTAAAAGCAATGTATAAACAAACTATTGTCATCATATTGCATAATCTTTCATAGTAGTGAAAAAGTGAGAACTGCAGTTGTAATCACTAATAATATGAATCTCATAAGTGTAATAGTCAAAAAATTATGCAAGTTAAGACAAATGATAAATAATGTAATAGCATTCATATCAACATTAAAATCATTCTAAATTATATAAGTCAATTAGGGATGCGTATTTAAGGTTAAGCAGGACATTAAAGGAAAGCAAAGTCATACATGAAATTCGAAGTACTGGTTACTTCTGTTAGCAGGCAGGGTATAAAGGCAGGTTACAAAATCAAGGCAGTTTCTATTTTTCAACCCAAATAGGAACATTTTGTTAATATTTGTATCCAGTTAATTTATATTATTTATCTACTATAATATGTGTAACACATGGAAAAGACAAACAGAACACAGGACAAAAATGTACAGCTCATTAAATTGTCACAAGTGCACACCTACCGTATCACCACATAAAATAAAACATCGAGGTACTCTGAAAACTATAATCTCCCTATCCTCCAAAAATGACCACTGTCTTTGTAGGTTTGTATCTATGCAGGTATCCCTTAACTCTATTTTGTTTTCTTCTGTGCTTTGAAGTTAATAGGAATGAAGCACTACAAAGTGAATGCTTTCATGTCTGACTGCTTTCATAAATATTAGGGTTGAGAGATTCATGCACATTGTACCTGTTATCAAATATAGCTACTGTGCTTTCATTTCTACTGTGGTACTGTATATTTTTCCATTGTATGGATACACCCAATATTGCTATCTATTATACTATTGATAGAAACTTAAATTGTTTCTAGTTTGAAGTAGCTATGAATAATGATACTATACAAGGACCAGCCCATGGCCTGGTGGTTAGGCATTTGAATCCCACGTGGCAGACTGCACAGTTTGAGTCCTGGACCTGGCAGTTTGAAAAACATGGCGAGTGTATATGTGTGAATGCTCAAAATCTCAAAAGGAGGGAGAAATGCAGAACAGATGTGGTGTGACCATGCTCCATCAAGGATGCCTTTTAGCTTTCTTTCTTGCACTGTCTCCAGTGAGTGTACATGTACTCTGCCAAAACAGACAAATGAAAAAAACTTTAATAATTTTATACAGTTTTGTCCATGTTTATACATTTATGTTCATTCTAAAAAGGCTGACTATATGACTTTCTATTCTTTTTTATGTATTAAACATTACATAATGAAATAATGCAAGAAACTCCCTCTGAAAAATTAGTTAAGAAACTCTTTCTGCTAAATGAATAGATAGTAAATGGCAATATCCTAATTTCACTTTTTTTGATTAATATTTATGGTAACAATCCTTTCTTAATTTTAGTTTGCATATTGTTCTTTATGGAATATTACTGATCCTATCTGCCCATTTTTCCATTTTTATTGTTGATTTCCAAAAATTATTTATTAATAATTATATTAAACCGTGTACTATCTTATTAGTAGAAAATAAAATGTATTTTTTACAGTGTGTTCCCTATTTAGTTTTTTATAATTTTCACTTTTTAGTGGCTTTTAATTTTTTTATACTGATTTCTTGCTGTAGAGCATATGTGCTTGCCAGAGACACAGAGAGAGACTGAGAGATAGAAAGTGAGAAAGCACCCCCACCCCGCCAGAGGTATGGCCACGCCACATTCCCTTCTCCTCTTGGGATTTTGAGCTCGCACACATGCAGCTGGCTTGAGTTTCAAGCTGCTAGGTTCAGGACTTGAACCATGGTTGGCCATGTAGAAATTCAGTGCCCCAATCACTATGCCATAGCACCTGCTGGCTCCAATGACTTTTTTTTTTTTTAAAGAGGTTTTTGTGCTTTAGGGCAGAGAGAGACAGATATAAGAAAGAGACAGTGAGAAATCACCCCCTTGGAGGGAGGTGGGGGGATGGCCATGCTGCAGTTCTTGCTCCTCCATTCTCCTCCTGGGATCTTAGGCACTTATGCGCACACACGTGGCATGATATTGAAGCCAGCAGGTCCAGGACTCAAACCACAGTTGGCCATGTGGGAGTCTGGCAACATAACTGCTACTCCATTTGCTGGTCCCAAGTAGCATTTTTTTTTTAGACCTCATTGCTTTATACTTCTATGTTAAAAATATCGTCATTGTAAAAAAATTGAGAAAATAAAAGAAAAAAAGAACCCTAAAGTGTAAATAAAGAGTATTTTGATACTTTTTTCTAATTAACTGCTATTAATATTTTGGTGCATGCCCTTTGTGATTTTATTTATGTTAGGTAGTTGGAAAGTCATTACATATTTTTGTATGTTTTTTATGCAAAACTGTGTCATGACTTTCTGAATGACCCAGTGTATATATATTTCATGTATATTCTACGTATATCAATTTATATATATGGGACCATCTGGTGGCATAGTGATTATGTTGCTGGATTCCCACATAGTTGGCCGTGGTTTGAGTCCTGGACCTGGCAGCTTGAAACTCACACCAGGTACATGAGCACAAAATCCCGAGAAGAGAATGGAAGAGAAGGGATTGTGGCTTGGCCCTCTTCCCTCAGAGTGATTCTTGCTGTCTCTCCAGTGAGCACACATGTCCTATAACCAACTAAAACAAACAAAAAAACTCCAAAAAAATTTATATATATGTACGAGTATAAATATAAATACATATATTTTTAAAATAGCTATATATTTATATGCACATGATACTACAAAAGGGGATTTTTTTTCCCTGCCTAATAACATACCTCTTTTAAACCAATCAATATAGTTCACACCATCATTTTAAAATATTTGAATAGTATTTCATTGCATAAATATGCTAATCATTCATTCAGCAAATACTTATTGACCTTGTTAATAATGTTTATAGCAGCATCATTTTTCAGGCACTGGGAGTAAGTAATGTCCAAAACTCCTTCAAAGTTGAAGCTTGAAAGCTAATAGAGAAAACATCCAATAAAAAATGAAATTTTCATATAAAATAAGTACTAAGAAGAGAAAAAATAAGCAAGGAGACTGATAGTAATGAGTTGGTGTGAGGGCACTTATGTATACATTTAAGTATAAATATACATATATAAGCTCAAGGAAGGCTTCATAAATGAGTGCAACATAATTGAAGTATGGAAACCCACTTTGCTAATCTTTGAGTCAAAACCAAACGTAAATCTGCAAGGTGAGAATTTTGTCCTTTTTTTTTTTCTTTTTTTTGAGAGGTTTTTGCTATAGGTGTGTGTGCTAGTCAGAAAAACAGAGAGAAACAGAGAGACAGAAAGCGAGAAATCACCCCCCAGGGGGGATGGCCATGTCACAATCCCTTCTCCTCCATTCTCCTCTTGGGATCTTGGGCACTCACAGACACATGCCTGGTGTGAGTTTAAGCCACTAAGTCTGGTACTCAAACTGTGATCGACTACATGGGAGTCCAGCGACGTAGCCGTTATGCCATCTGCTGGTCCCATATGTGTTTGTTTTAAAGCAATCTGATATTGGTTAATATGTTTGGGTTAATTACAGTTATTTAAAATTTTAAACAAATTGGAAGGAATGATTCTTAGTAAAATGCTTCGTAAATTTTTGCAGGTGTTCTAGCTGTTCTTTTAATTTTCAAACAAACTTTTTCCTCATATGTCTAAATGACTATAATAACAGAAATATGTGAGAGTGTATATCAAATGCATATCAATGGATGTTATTCTAGTGCCATCTTATTTCACAGGTCTAATTCATATTTCCTTAGAGGAAATATATAACTGTTTTCCGAATGTTAGAATATAGAATACTTAATTTGGAAATTGGTTTTGATAGCTAAGACAAAAAAGAAATTGAAATGACCTGCATGTAACTGTACTGCTATTTGATACTGCATTTTATGCCACTTTGATATCATAGAACCTTTAATAAAATAACTTTCAATAACAAGAAATTTGACACACACATTTTTTTCCTATCCTTTGTAGGTTGCTGATTCAAAGTTTTTCCCAAGACCTTTTAGTGTCTTGCCCATGAAGACAAATTGGAGTAACATTGGCTTTCATGTTCTCCTATTTGATCTGGAAAACCTTGTTGACCTTCTGCTGCCAACTCCAATCCATGATGCTGACCCTTCCAACTCATTCTATGGTAGTGAAATCCTGAGAAGAGCCAAGAGCACAGTGGAGAAGAAGACACTAACACTGAAAAGAAATAAAACTGCCTGTGGTCCTCTTTCAGCCGAAGCACAAGCCAATCCTTTTAGCGAAAGCCCAACCCAAGGAGATAATACCGACAAGTTCTTAGAAGAAAATGATGGCATGAAACGGCAAAAGAAAATGAAGAGTTCCAAAAAGATGCATACTAACCTATCAAGAAGAGTTGACGCTGACCTCACAATAGATACTGCTAAATTGTTTCTGTCTTGCCTTCTGCCATGGGGAGTGGATAAAGAATTAGATAATCTTTGCATCAAGCATCTCAATATTTTAAAGCTTCAGGGTCCTGTTTCTTTAGGACTTGCTTCAAATGAAGATCACTTCTCACTGATGCTCCCAGGTTGGGATTTATGCAATACTGACATGAAGAAAGACTACTCAAAAGTAAATTTATTTTCCAGGAAAGTTTTAGACTTGTCCAATAAGTACATAGCTAAACTTTCAAACCAAGTTGGAATACCAAGACAACTGGAAAATAATTGTGATTCTTTGCAAGTGTCAAATACTATAGTTTACTTATTGAATAGACTGTTTATAGTTAGTAAGTTAGTTAACATGCCTTTAGAATTGGCCTGTGGAATTGACAGGTAAGACATGGATAGGAATTTTGATTGTTCTAATTTGGGACATTAAGAAATTATCATTATTGGGGACCAGCAAATGGTGTAACATTTGTGACACTGGATTCCCACGTGACTGACCACGGTTCAAGTCCTGGACCTAGTGGCTTGAAACTCACACTGGGCGCATGTGCATGTTTGCCCAAAATCCCAAGAGGAGAAGGGATTGTGGCATGGCCATCCCCCTGGGTCATGATTACTCACTTTCTCTTTCTCTGTCTCTCTCTGTGTCTCCAGTGAGTACATGTACCCTACAGCAAAATCTTTAAAAAAAAAATTATCATTATTTGCTATATTTAGCAGTTTAATTTACTTTTCTTTCTTCTAATGTAAGATAAATATACAACTTCTTTAGTACAAAGTAAATTTTTAAAAATGTTCCTTTTAATTCTTTGGTATTGGAAAGCAACTTGGCAATAGATCTATTAAGTCTTAAAATGTATTTATTCAATAAATACTCATTATTCTCATAATATGTGTCAGAAAAGTCATAGTGCTAGATGCTGAATGAGTAGGCAGGTAGGTAGATAAATAGATTGACAGATAGATATATGTACACCTTGAAATCCATCATACATGGTGTGCATTTAGCACGGACCCAGAGCATTTGAATAAGTGCTTTTGGTGCTATAGTTCCTACATTATATAAAAAAGGAAAAGTTGGGAAATGCCATACCTCAAATCATACCATTTAGTTTATATTTTGGCATATTAAAATAGAAGAATAATTAGAATAGTAATAATTAGAGATATTGTTTGAGTGTTTAATGTCTACTAGTCAATGTATCATCCCTTTATATACATGATTTCACTTAATGTCATGGCCAAGCTAGGACATAGGTAGTAGTCTTTTGCTCACTGTGTAGATGAACATATTGATGCTTACAGAGAATCAAACCTAAGGTTCATTCTGAAAGGATGATATAGGACCAGTCTGGTTCTAGAGCCTAACTAATTATTAACCTCAACTTTTTACCTCCTCCTGCTGCTAAAATTTAGTAGAGTTTTTAATAATCTGATGTTACAGGATTGAATTCAAGTATTTACTTATTAAACTTACATGCCTTCACATTGACCAATCGAAGAAATAGAAAATAAGCTTATGATTTGGGTAGAAACACATTAGATTGATAAAGGTAATGGACATGAAATCATAGAAAACACTGAAATAGAGCCAACAAGTAAGATGCTACTTATTGTAGTGTCAATAAGTAATACAGGTAGTCAGAGTAAAGTAAAGTAAAGAACAATCAGTGTGAAATGATATCATCTGAAGGTCTTTTTCAAACGCCCATCACATAGTGGCAGATGGTGCCTGACATGCCTATCCTTTGAAAAGAGCTTAGTTCTACAGTATTTGTGCCACCTGTTGTAAAATAGAATTTCCAACTTTGGTGAACTTACAGTTTGGTGGGAAACTCAAATGGACTATGTCAGATTCATTGTTACACTTCTTTCTATTCTAATGTTTCTGTGTTAAGGAGTTTTCAATTTTCTATTTGGTGGCCCCAGTAATGAAAAAGCAGAGACTGGCAAATTTCTGATTCAAATGTGTAATTTCCCAGGGGACCAGCAGTTAGCATAATGGCTATGTCGCTGGACTCCTATATAGTCTACTGCGGTTCAAGTCCCAGACCCGGTGGCTTAAACTCACACCGGGCATGTGTGCATGTGTGCCCAAGATCTCGATTCCCAAGAGGAGAATGGAGGAGAAGGGACTGTGGCATGGCCATCCCCCCTGGGGGGTGATTTCTCGTTTTCTGTCTCTCTGTCTCTCTCTGTCTTTCTGACGAGTGCACGCACCCTATAACTAAAAGCTCTCAAGAAAAAGAAAAAAAAATGTGTAATTTCCCTCTATTTTCTTTTGTTCATTTAAAATGCCCCCTCTCATTTGTTTAACTTCAGATAGGCTTCTTTTCTATTTCTATTTTTTCTTTTTTATTTCTTTTTCTTTCTGTTACTAAGAAAATTGCATAACACCAATGTATGGTAAAAATGCCGTTAGCCTTTAGTCTGAAGACCTAGGACTGAACTCTGGTTTTGTCATACTGTGTGACTTTCGGCTAGCCACTAGGCTTCTCGGAGCCTTATTTTCCTCATTTACAAAATCTGGTGTGTGGCATAAGTGATTACCAAGAGTCCTTCGAGTTATTAAAAACTAACAAATTTTATTGCTTGCCTAATTGTTATCCTACAGAGAAGATGAGGAACTTAGTCATTGTTTGCCAGAGGATTCCATCGGCATTTGATCCTGATACAGAGTATGGGACAGAGAGGATGTGTCTCAAGGCCTTTAGGGGGAGGTTATGGCCTTTCCCCATGATTTCATTAAATGGCCTTTAAATTGTTGCTATACATTAATTGATTCTTATAATATTTTTCATTTAAACCAATTGTAGAATGGTGGTGGTAGATTGGAGACTGCTTCTGGAAATCCATTAGTCCTGATTTGAGCTGCTGTCAGAGCTTCAATATCATTTTTTTGGAAACCAAAACAATGCACATTGGACTTGTCACACCAAATCCTTTTGATAAATTTGGCCACCTCACAGTATTTTACTGTATTTTGAAGGTTCAGAAATCCTTGTGTGTTGAACAATTGCATTTGCAACTTGACTGAGCTTTATGGAAATAATTGTCTGCCTCTGAGAATATCACTGACAGCATCTGAAGATTACTATTGACACACTGAGGCCGGCCCGGTGGCTTATTGGTGAGGGAGCTGGAGCACATCTGACTGACTATGTAGTTCAAATCCTGGTTGTAGTGGCTTGAAACACATGTGTGTGCATGTCCAAAATTCCAACGGGATGGAGACAGGGAGGAGGAGGGATTGCAGTGTGACTATACCCCATCGGAGTAACTTTCTCCTTCCCCCTTTCCCTCTCTCTGTTTCTCTGTCTCTCTTTAGCAAGTACCTGGGCTCTCTAGCAAAATTTATAAAAAGAAAGCAGAACATTGGCCTGGAGTAGAGGCTGCCTCCCTAAGACCCCAGGGCATCTGGGGAGAATTCTTCAGGAGATGTCAGCATGCTAAGGTTCACGAATTGGTTACATTAGCCAGAAGTCATATGACCTGAAGTAGAAGGCCCTCTTATAAAAGTGGGCACAGAAAATTCTGATGAACTGAGCTGCAATTCATTTGAAATTAAGGTTTTAATTAGGAGCAAAGTGGGGAAATATTCAAAAAAAAAGATTAATATGGAAGATATTGCTAAAATTCATCTGTGCTCAAATCCCAATTTGCTTAGGTGGTCATGCATCTATTATCTTGAATTTATTTTCTCAAACTGTTTTTCATACTTCTTTAATAATATTTTTAAAATATTTTCTTTCTAGTAGTTCCTTCAAAATGGAATCTATGCATAACAAGGTGAAAATTCCTGGGAATGATATTTTGAATATTTCAAGCTTCTACAGTTACTTACGAAATGGTAAGAGAGTTATAGACACAGATATGATCAGATTTTGTTTTTCTTCTGTGAAGTAAAATGATCAGTCTTTCTTAAGTGGGTAGCAATGTTAAAATAAATAACACTGTGAGACATAGATTTCATCAAATGATCTTTGAATGTCTGAAACTTTTCAGCAAAAGAATTATTTGGATATTAAATTTAGGTCATATGATTTATTAGAAACCTCATTGCATAAGGATCTTTATTATCAAATAAATTATTATTACATTATAGAACTTTATTGCTATTTCAAAAGGTTATATTCTTATAAGTAGCGATCTTGAATTTTTGTGAGTGACACTCTCAGTGTTTAGATTCTTTTGATGCTAAATGGGTAATTCATCTCCAAAACTTGCTTTTACAGATCTTCAGCATCTCAATAAATGACAGTTCTGACCTCCTAGTTGCTCAAACCAAGGACATTGGTCTCATGTTTTTACCCTTCTCTTTCTTTTATACACCAGATCCAGTCTTATATTAATCATGTCAATTCTACCTTTAGAATTTACCCCAGAATCCAACCATGTTTGTCTCGTCACGTACAGGATCACCCCCCTGGTGCGAGCCCTCATCCCTCCTTGTCTTTATAATCTCAGTAGCCTTCGAAACACCTCTCTGCTCCTATTCTCGGTTCCTACACTATTTCCAGCCAAGCAGCCAGAGTGGTCTATTCAAAATAAGTCAGAACCTCATTCTTCTACTTATAGCCACCTAGTGGTTTCTGTTACTTTCAGGACAGAAGTCACTGTCCTTACCCTCACTTGAAGACCTTGTGTGATCTGGCTGGTCGGCCTGTGTCACTCACACACATCCTAGCCTGACCATAACTCTTTGTACTCATCCCCGTCTAGCTTATTCCCGCTATCCTAGCTTTTTTCCTCCTACCCAAACACCACAGGCAGGTCTTAGACTTTTCCACATACTGTTGCCTTGCTTAGAAAGTTCTTTTGCCAGACATCTTCATGGCTCGCCCTTCTCTCCCTCCACTGGCCCCCGTCCTGCGAGTCTTGCTCCAATGCCTCTGTTTCAACAAAAGTGCCCTACTTCCTCTACATGTTTCCCATCCCTTCCTCTGCTTTACTGTTCTCCCCAGTCATTTTAACTCATATATATGTCCCTTTTTCTACTCGTCATCTGCCTCCTGCGACTAAACTGTAAGCCCCTGAGAGTCTGGATTTTTACGGCAGTTTTGTTCATGATTATGTCTCCAATTCCTAGCATAATGCCTGGGAAGAAGTAAACCATCAGCTTTTTTTAATTAGTGAGTGAATAAAACGAATGTGTAGATGGAATTAAGGAGTGACAGTGGAGACAACAATAGTTTGGGAGATAAATGAGACAGATGGATAAGGTTCAAAATCTAGCTCTGCCACTTACTCTTATATACCCTTGGATATGTCTTTTGTGCCTGTAAGAGCCCTGTTTGCTACCTTAGTAAAATGGGAATAAATGGGAATAAGAACTCAGACTCAATGTCCATATTGACTCCAAAGCTGTGCAGTTTATCACAATCATGGACAGCAGTCTTCACAGGACGGTGGGAAAGAATATTTATTTTCAAGTGAGAATTTATTAATAGCTTATGATTATCTAATGCCTAGTATGTTCCAAGAATTATGCCAATGTATTTACATGTATTACCACATTTAATCCATAAACAGCCCTGCGTAGTAGACGAAATATCTCTGTTTTACCCTTAAAAACAATTGAGGCTCAGAGAAGTTCGGTGAATCACACAGAGTGAAACAGCTATTCAGCAGAAAGGTCAGCCTTCCTACCCCGTGTTCCAATCTAATTCCTCACCCCTCGTTCTTTTATGACATCAGGCCACGTCTTACTTTCATGATTACAAATAGTATTCCAGAGTTCACCCCCATCTGGGTTGCCTGCCTTCTCCTTAGATAGTAGCTATTATTAGGTTAGTTGACCTGACCAGTTTTGATTTTTTATAACATTAGAAAGGGATTGTAATTTAAGACTTAATGTAAGTGTTTCTACAAAGACAGGAAATTATTAACCAGAGACAAAGAGGCCTCTTCTCCCTATGGTTGTCCCTACCAAATCAGTCTTAACAACTGGTGTTATTAATGAATAATCTCCCTGGCACTTAATGGTGGCAGTTATAGCATTTACAATTTAGTCAGGAACTAAGAAACCATGGGTTCCTTGTCAAATAATAGGAAGTAGAGCTGAAGGCAAAGGAAGAATTCATTTCACGATATTGACTTTATAAAGTGAAATCCTGAGGAATAAGATAATACTCTAAGGTGCTCATTCTAAGGTGTTGACAGGAGCCAGCACTCGCT